GCCAGAATTAATTAATACATTACACTATTCAGCCGCATAGATGTGTTGCCTTCACCAATGTAAATCAGGATCCACCAGGTAAGCCAGAAACTGCCAAAAGTTCTTGCCTTACACAAGCAAAAGCCTATCCTTCCTACAGGTTCTCGTCATAACGTGCCCGAACCTTATGCTTATTAATCTTATTAAAGTAGTATATAGTTCGTATGGTCAACTAATGCCGAGGCAGGTCTACATATAGCATGCTTCAAACAAATAGTCCTATTTCGTTATGCAAGTTCAGAGGTGGACACTTCTGACGCAACCAGTACCCTCGCCTTTTCATCCGAGGCACTCATCTTCAGGCAGGCTTCCAAGGATCAATCAAAATTATACGACAGATATTTTGATTCCAACTCTGCAAAACCGAGAAAATTACTTCAGCTAAATTTTTTACTTCATTCTCTAATTTATTCATTATTTTAAAAAAGTGGACTGACGTTTTCAAAGTAAGGGATATCACCAACAGTATACGTCCACTTAAACAGAATTTTAATGATCAGTTAGCTCAAGCTTTTACAGTCAAACTTAGCGCATATAACAAAGCATTGACACTGAAGTAGTACTGTTATTGTCGGCTTAAATTGTATATTTGCGGAAGTTTATTCCGGCCAACAAAGAACTCTGGGGTTTGGCGCACAAAAGTTCTATGTAATTAGTACGTCGGCAAGGCGCCCACTTAAAAATTAGCTCGATTCTCGGGACCCCGGTTGGTGTGGATTATGCATTTGTCAGTTATGAGAACTGGCCTCGAGATCAAATCCTGTAAAAAAGGTTTCCCTAGAGAAAACAGCTAAAGGTTTCGTAAACCTAGGGTATGAGAAGATTTTAATAGCAGCCGCTTTCCTCTGCCTTGTCTTTATCGACAATTTAATCATTTGCGTTTCTGGAAGATTTTAGTAGGATAACCAGCTTTCTTACAGGCTCAATTAAAAACCACAATAATTGGACGAAAATCTAAGTAAAATCAGCGGTCTGAGGTCTGCATACAGGTCAAATCTGAAAAATCCCTAAACTAGAGTAGATTGCCTATTTGATTAAATGTAAGGATTTTTACAAGGTAATCCCCCTTACTCAAAAGAAATTCACATTGCCTCCCCCCAAAATCCTAAAGCAATTAATTAATGGTCATTTTTCAAAATATGGCAAATTGCGATTTATCAAGTACTATTACGTTGTTTAGAAATACCTGCTATGTTAACAGAACGGAAAATTCCGAAAAACTTGAAACGGGACGTGCTATAAAAACTAACGTTGTAAATGTAGAGAAAGCCTGTTCATGCAAATAAACGGGTGAATAAAGCAGCAAAATTAGAATTTCGTTAAAAATAATTGTTTTTAAAATTTCCGGATACATATGCTTCTATAATACGTGCAATGTAATGTATGGTCGTTACCGAACAACCCAAATTTCGATGATATATTCCAACATGATTTCACGAGAACTGCTAGTTGTTTCTTTCTTTTGTACACTGCTTGAGGTAAGTTGGACTAAGAAAACCAGATTTTCGCTTGATTGCTACGATTCAGAGGTCACGGGAATAGGATATTTCGTGAGCTGACGTGCGGACATGCCGGTAAGTTATTAATAAATTAAAATGGAATTTTCAAGTGCAATCGTAATTGTGACATTTTTGTGTACACAAAGAAAAATTTCCTCCTGTCACATGCCTTTCTAATCATTTGGGAATTTCGATTACAATGAGGCTCAGATTCTTTTTGAAAGAGTGATTATTACTTTACGATTTTCAATGGCTTCAGTCAATTGGACATAAATAAGGATCATATTCGATGTGATTAATAAATCCTTCACAATAGGGTATTGATTAAACGCATTAACCTAAATTTCAATTTTTGAGCATTGCTTCTATTTCACCTGTTTCTCTGGGTCATAATTTTAGAATCACCCCAACCTGTCAAGTAATTGCCGATAAAAAAGAACGACTGCAACATTAGTCACAAACCAATATTCCTAAGATCAATTAAAAAGCTTTCTATAACAGCTTACTCCTTGAAAGTAAACTTTAATGAGATAGTTCGACGTCAATTACCCGTGTGCTTTGCCTTTTCGAACATAAGACAGGATAAAAGTGGCACATTGTGACCGGTTTTTTGACTTCCCTGAGTATTAGGAATAAATCGTCTGCTTAAAATGAAAAAACGCTTTTCTGTGTATATGGGAGCAGTTTTTAGTTTACATCTTCATTTTAGGCCCCGTTCTAAGATTGCAAATGCACGTTAGAGTGGCAGAATATAAACTTTGATCTTTCGAAAAATTAGAATCTTCGACCCGTCCCTTTTCAAGTTTCCTTATTTTGTCATACCTTAGTATAAAATCAAAGTGTTTCGACATCTTTTTATATGGTTTGACAGAGAAAGGTGACGACATGTCTCTGGTGCTCACATATATGCTTTTTTACCGTCCTTATTTTGTTGTGGTAAAAGCAATTACAGCCTTATAAGTTTATTACTTAATTTTATGGCACAAAACATAGCAGATTCGAGCAAACAGAATTTTATAAACTGAATCCGCCCTTCATTTCCTGAAAACAATGCGTTATCTTTCACTTGCATTTACCTCAATTTCATTAGGGCAAAACGAAATTTTCCGTTCTCTTAAAAGATATACTTAAAACTTTTGTGGTTTTTATTAATATTCTCTCACAGTACAACAAAGAAATCAAGACCTTTTTGTCCACAGCGTTTAATAGCTAGGACATTTCTTGGATACCAGCAAACTGTCGATTTTTCCAAATTCTGCGCCTATTTCCCTTCAATATACCGATCTGAAATAAATTCTTTTCAGTTAAGCAGTAGGTTGCGCCTCAGGTCAATTCAATTAATAAAATAAACAAACCCAAATGTTTGTTGAACCATCCTCCTAAATTTCGATCTTCACATATTATCAGTTAGGCAATCTACTGTATACCGGATCCTCATAATTCATTTGGATAGAATAGTGTTGGATTAAATGCGTTGACTGTTCGTTCGTTCTTTGGCACAACTGTTGTAGAGGCCACCGACTTTTTCACCAGTGGTTCCATAAAATAAACCTATACCTATAAGAACTTAAAATGCAACATATTTCACATTTATCTTTATCTGGTATGAGGCCGAGTCGTCCTCATTTCGTTATAATCAATTTACAAAATCTAATCAGCCAGTATTTCAAAAGAGACGCTGCCCTCACGCCGTGCAAGGTCCACATGAATATTCTTTGCAATCAGGTGACATTTCACTCGAATGAGTGTATATCTAGCCATGCCAATAAATTGCACAAAAACCAGCGGTTGCTGATAACAAGCTTGGTTTCGATAGGGAAAGTACATGGACCGAAATGTGCCATTGTCCAAGTTGCCGGGATTTTTGCCCGGTGGGATCGCCGAGAACTGGTAGTCCATATCGTAATAAC